TTCAAGATATTACGCGAATAAGAATTTAATGTGATATCCAAAGCAGTCAAGGATTAACATTTAACTGTAAATAAACAGTAGCAAAAGGAACCGTCAGAAATGGAAATGAATTCCTGTTAGCTAAGTTACTCTCTTATAGTCAGTATAATTTTTATCAGTTTCTAAGGGAAACTTAAGAAAGTGGACAAGAGTACAATGGGGTAGGTGAGATTTTTTTCTCTCTCTTTCTCCACTTGGCCGGCCATGCATGAAAAAATAGAGCCAAACCTTTGGCTAGTGGAGTGTGCTAGAGGACTTTATGTTAAGGTGATGTGATGTTAGTGGTTGAAGGGGAATTAATGACAATTTTGCTTCTCATTTTCTCCTTCCATAACCGGCCAAGAAAGGGGGGAATTGAACCAAAATTTGGTTGATTGAAGGAGTTGATGTGATGTTAAAAAAATTATTTTCAAGTTGCCTATAAAAGGAACCATCATAGGATAAGCTTCATTTTTTTTCTCCTTTTTCCCACATCAAAAATCCGGCTACACACTTTCCATTTCCTCTCAAATATTTTCTCCCACTCTCTCAATCTTGAGCCACTATCACACCATAGAAGAAGAAGAAGGAGATCAAGGGATTCTAGGAGGAGACTAGTCAAGTATTCCTCTAAGGGTAAAGAAACTCTAAATCCTCTCATTCTCATGTTTTAGTGAAGTTTGAAATGTAGAAATATTCCTCTTAAATTTCCTTATACTCTTATAGTTTCAAGCCATTAACAAACCTTGGAGAAGAAGAGAAGGATCTAAATGGCTCTCAAGAAAGAGTTCTTCAAGGGTAACTTCTTGAACTCTTTTCAATTATTTTCTAGCAAAGTTTAAGTTTGAGAATCCATTTATGTAAATTGTGATTCTCAAGGAAATAAGTTGTAATAAGGGTGTGTGAGTTTTATGTTGGTTGTGTGAGTTTTGAGGTTAGTTTTATATGGTATGCTTATGTTTAATCTAAGTTGCTTATTTTTGCTTAGAGGAAAAATTTTCCGGTTGCTTTGAACACGGAAGTGAGAACCCTAGAATAAGATTTTTAGGTGTTCCAAAGCTTAAACTTGTAGCCCTTTATGTTTTGAACATTTTATGTGGCTGTGACAAAACCCCATTTTAACTCTAAAACCAAGTTTGAAGCCATTTTGCAAAAACGGACAGGCTGCCCAAAATAATTTCAAAAAAAACTGGCAGCCACTGGTTCAGTCAAACGAGACCTTTAGAGGCTGAATCTCGATTTTTCATAAAAATAACAATTTTAGCTTTCGATGAGACGAAGAACTTTGATGAAGAACAAATTTTTAAAATCCAATCCTAAGATGTAGTAAAATGTAGATTTCCAAAATGGCACAGTTTTGGACTAAAACAGTTTCAAGAAAAAAACAGCAGCCATTGTTTTCAGCCAAACGAAGCCTTTAGAGGCTGAATTTCAACTTTCTCTAAAAACGGGAATTTAAGATCTCGACGAGATGAAAAATTGTCACGGAGAATAAATTTTTGAAATCCGACTCTAAGATGCACTAAAATGCAGATTTCAGAAACTGCACAGTTTTAACGAAACAAAACTAACATAGTGTTGGTTTTAACAAAAAGTGATCAATGAACCCGAGATGTGGTTTCAGTAAAATATTATGGTGTTAAACCTCACTTTAACAGAAGTATTCATAAAGAAAATTTTTAAGAAAAATGCTTTCTTTAAAGAACATAGTGGGTTATCGAGCAAATTATCCCGACGGGCATCTACGAGCCCAACACGATAGATCCTTAGGATTTCGAGGATTTGATGTGGGTCCAACGCCCGCATTGATTTAAGAGACTCTGTTTGAGTTTAAATTTCAGCGGCCTAAGAGTTAGAATGCCGTTAATAAGTTTCTAGGCCGAATTGGGCCTTAATATCATAATAAGTTCAATGAGGAATTTTATGGAGAATAAGTTACTATATTGGGTAAATGATTTTCAATCTAGACATAAGTATGTTAAGGGCAATTAAGGAAAATAAAATTTTGAGGATCTAATAAATTGATCCTTATAGTAAATTATCCTTCAGAAAATGAAAGGAATACTTGCCTTAAGAAAAGGGTTAGATTCCTTCATGAGTTGCTAAAATAGAATAGCAAACGACAGTTAATCTCACACTCTCAATGGGTGTTCATTTTTAGAAATAAGCAATAAGAGAATAGACTATTTGGCGAAAAGTGGATTCCAGCTCTGTAAATCAGGTAAGTAGGAATCTCGCCTACAGCATGAATAGATTTTAAAGAAAAAAATTACACATGTTATATATATACATGTTTATGCTTTAAGTATTGTATGTGATGCCATGTCATGCTGCATACACCTTAATAAGTCAAGAGGAACTTATAAGAATAATCTCAGTTAATCACGGTGTCGTGGGGGACCTTGCAAACCCTCACGTTCCGATGATTGCGCGCAAGTGGTACGTGAGCACTCGGGCCCATCAGTAAGAAAGATAAGATAAGATAATAAGATTATGATAAGACATCATAATTAAGCATAATCAGCTCATGCATATTTATTCATGTGTACTTACAGTTATTTTGTGAGATATAGTTCCTACTTGCTGAGCGAAAGCTCAATCAGATATGTTCATGCTGTAGGTAAGAAACCTATCAGCAATTCTTGAAGGGCAATGGCAAGCGGCGGACGAATGGTGGAGATGGGAATAGATACCGCTCACGCAGTTATCTTCCGCAGTAAGTTTAAGAAAAATCATGTATATGTCTATATGATTCAAAGGTTTCAAGCATGTATGTTTAAAAAGTATACGTACATATGTATGTTAAGAAAACCGAGGTTGTAGCTAACAACCCTAGTTTTGAGTATTTAAGTTTTAGAACGTTGCAACAGTGCATGCAACAAATAAACGAATTTTAAACATGGCGATTTAAATGATTGATTTTAAAAAGACTTTAAGATGTACTTGAATTTAAGATTTCTCACGAAATCCATTTTAAAGTCAAATGAGATGGCCCGATTGAATTGGCTAGTTTTAGAAAGGCTTTTAAAGAGTATTTGAAACAAGAGTTCAAACGCTACTCCGTTTGAAGGATATTTTTAGAAGGTTTTATCTTAACTAAAATTAAGAAAAACTTTAAGAAATTTAGTAATTCATCCTTTTGAAATTATTGTTATGAATTATGAAAGTATTTCTTCTTATATAAAAAAAAAAAAAAAAATGTTCCTCAAATTTTAAGAAACCCCAATAAGTACGAGCTAAAAAAAATTAAGTTACGGTGGCGGCCTCATAGGAGGGTTGTCACATCTAAACACAGATTCAGTCTTGATCCTGGGATTTGAATCTCCCAATCCATCAACCAAATACTCACTTAGAGGATGTTTGGTATCTAGATTTGTTCCCTAATTCGAATCATGATTCGTGGTTCGTTACAGTATTTTTTCTCATAAAAAATACACGTAAATCGAAAATAATTCTAATCACGTGGTTCTAATTCATAAACCAAGCGTCTCCTTAATTGTAAGAGTCTAATTAATGGTTAGACCAGTTGCTTGTTCAACAGTTTGTGAAAAAGGAAAAGATATATCTAATTTATTCCGCTGCTTTGAAAAAGTGAACAAAGTCAGTCATGCCAAGCAATTCGATTCTCATTGGCGATGATTTAAGAATTTTTAATACTTTAAAGCGACCAATGTTAAACTTTACTCACATATCAAACCAAAATGATCAGTGCAATGAAATCAATTAGCAATTTTAACAAGAAATCATTCCAAATAATAATCTACTTTGATCTTGTTTAATTTCATGTATGCACATTTTTTTTTTCAGTTCTAAGTTGATGTATCTTTTTCTAGGAAGAAAATCTTACATTTGTCTATTATTAAAATAAATAAATAAATCCCGAAAACGCAAGTTTTTGATTCCCAATGTTCTTGTTAAGGAAAAAAAAAAAAAAAAAAAAAAAAAAAAAAAAAAAAAAAAAAAAAAATCTCTTTCCCTGTTCAAGGAAAAGAAAAATAAGGAGTTGAGTTTCTTGTACATAGAAAAAGTGAACACTTGAAGTAGCCTATATATATGTGATATTAAAACAAACTCTATTTTGGTAGTTTTAGAATTTCTCTCCATTTTAACATTAATTATGGAAATACCAATTCCAAACAAGTTCAAGAAGCTGTGGGATGTGTGGGACATTCGTTGTTGCATTCTCTTAAGCTTGTTCCTCCAGGCTTTCTTAGTGTCTTTTGCATCGTTGAGGCAACGATCCAAGAGGACGTTGCTCATCTTCTTCGTTTGGTCGGCCTACTTGCTAGCCGACTGGGTTGCTGCCGTTGCCATCGGCATAATCACCCAAAGTCAGGGTAACGATTGTGACCCTCGGTCTTGGCAAAATGAGGATCTTTTCGCGTTTTGGTCGTCGTTTTTGTTGTTGCATCTTGGCGGCCCAGACAACATCACTTCTTTCTCCCTTGAGGATAACGAGTTCTGGCTCCGCCACCTTTTTGGACTCATCTTACAGGCAAGTATTCAAACGTCGATATTTTGGTCGATATTTCTTTGATACTACAATCTAGTTTTTATGAGTAGTGATGGTGTGCAAAGAAAGAAAATAACTTTTCTTTTCCGCGGGTCAAGAAAGAGAGAAATTTCAACATTTTACTGATATTATAAGTATCATATTGATAATGTCTTTTTTTTTTTTTTTGTAGTTTATAGATACTGTGAAAGAATGTTAACAAGTACTGATGAAGAAATGACTGTATAATTTTTAATAGAAACGCAAAATAAGAGTAAGTAAAAAAGAAAAAGAAAAGAGATCATGACTCAAGAGATTTTTGGAATTTATTATACTTTTATTTTAAGAAAGGGGAAAAGAAAACACAGTGCCTGAGAGGTGTGTGATTTCCTTTTATATTCTTTATGTTCATCACTGCGTATCACTAATTCAGAGGCGCGATGAAAGTGAATGTAGCTCTGATGGTGAATCTTATTTGTCAGTGTGTATTCTTATTTGTTTGCTTTTCTTTTGCAGTTTTAATTCTTAACACTTGCAATAGATTTCAATTTTTCATAAATCTAGAGATACTGATATTTTATCTGTGCTGCACAGGTTTTGGCCGCTGCTTATAGCATCTATCTCACACTTCCAAGCAACAAGCTATGGCTCCCCACCATGTTAGTCTTCGTTGTTGGAACCGTCAAGTATGCGGAGAGAACCTATGCTCTCTATCTAGCTAGCTTGGACCGCTTTGGGACGGCAGTGTTGCCAGAACCGGAGCCTGGTCCTGACTATGAAGAGTCTGTGCTTCAACTGTCAACCCAAACGACACCGAATCTCAATCCAATGCAACCCGATCTTGATGAAGTTGTTGCCAAATTAGGAGAAGATGTGAAAAAGTTGGATGATGATACCAAGTTGCTGCAGGTGTCACATATGCTTTTTCAGTGCTTCAAGAGACTAATTGTTGGGTTTTTTGTGAGCTACAGAGACCGCCAGATATGCCGAAAAATTTTTTTGGACATCGACCAGAAATGCGCCTTTAAGTTGATGGAGTTCGAGCTGAGCTTTATGTACCATGTTCTCCACACAAAGGCGATAGTGGTGTGCCGCAGAGCTGGGTACATCATCCGCTTCCTTGGTTTCACTTTCATACTTGTTGCCGCATGTGTATTCATTGTCTTGGTAAATGGCAAGAAAATTGTGCTTGCTAACAAGTACATTGAAATAGCCCTCACTTACTCCTTACTTGTCGGAGCTATAGTCCTTGAATTCGTGTCCATCATCAAGCTCATTTTCTCCGATTGGACTCTCATATCCCCCTGGGGCGGGGACACAAGATGGAAAAAATTCGTCAAAGATATCATTTTGAAAAGACGAAGATGGGCTGAGTCGGTTTCTCAATACAACATGATCAGCTATTGCATTGATGAACATAACATAAGGCTAGTATACAAGTTGTCCGGTTATGTTAACGCCACAGCAATTGTGGACACATTGAAAGTCATTTGGCATTCATCATCAAAAAATGTTCACAAAAACCTCCACAAGTTCATTTTCAATGAGCTGAAAGATAAATCTAAGGATCACGGAGAAAATCCAAGGGATGCAAGAGAAGCATGTTTGCAAAAAGGCGAGTCAGCGCTACTAAGGAGCTCTACTAGGAGCTATATCCAACTTAAGTGGAGCATTGGTGAGTTTCAATACACAGAGAGCATTCTTCTGTGGCACTTGGCTACTGAACTTTGCTATCATCAAGAGAATCAAACATCAAATAGTACTACTACTACCACTGACCGGCCAGTCAATGACAACGAAGAAATTTGCAAGCTTGTTTCGGATTATATGTTCTATCTACTAGTGATGCAGACCACAATGATGTCCCCGGTTTTGGGAAATTGGTACAAGGTATTCCAGGACACATGTGCAGAGGCCAAGAGATTTTTCGACAAACACAAGATACCAAATCATTCAAAAGCTTGCGAGAAGATGATTTCGATTAAGGCCAAGTTCAGGCCGGCTGCCGTGAAGGGAATCAAAAGCAAATCCGTGTTCTTCGATGCGTGTATCCTAGCGCAACAGCTTAGGAGATTGGAGGATCGATGGGATGTGATGGCCAAATTGTGGGTGGAATTCATGTGCTATGCAGCCATTAACTGTAGGGCCAACATACATGCTCAGCAAACAAGTAGGGGTGGAGAGCTTTTGACAATCACTTGGTTGTTGATGTATCATTTTGGCTTGGGAACACAGTTTTCCGAGCAAGAAGAACAAGCTGGCACAAAGATGGTTTCTGTAAAGTAGTAGTACACAAGCCACAAGACCCAATAATTATAAGCACACCATGTTGCTTAGATAGTTACAAAAATAAATACCAGAAAAAGAGGAAAACAGTAAATGTGGATGCTTGTTATAAGATGAAATAAATCATGAGTTGGGAGTCATCTTTTAATACTGTTAACGCTTTCTCCATTTTATTTTTCAGTGTGTAATAGTGGTTTATTCACATATTGCTTATAAATACACATTAATTTTGTACTTGAAAGATGATTTTTACATGCAATGTCATTTATTGATATTTGGACACAAGGATAATATTTACTTATATTTTCGGACATTTTTCTTAATAATTAATTAAAAGGGAGAAGAAATGGAAAAGGCATTTATTTTGCTGAAATGGTTTTGGTATCAAATTACAAGCAGAATAAAGCACATTCAGAGAACTTTTCTACTAGATGAAGTTAGCATCTAATTAGTTTTTCCCTGGAGGCCGCAAAGCTACCGCGCAAAAGGAAATTCACAAATTAGTATGCGTTATATATAACTCAATATTTTTTTCATTAATTTTGATCTCTTTGCACAAATCAACATTTGAACCTTACTCTTAGAAATTTTCGCATCCGTTAATTCAAGCCAATTATAGGAGGAAACATCGCGAGTGTTGCTGATCGGATCTTTTGAGAGGCTGCCTCTGGAATTAGCTGCCCTTGACCCAGCCGCATGGGCGCAGGGCACGTCCGTGCTCGTGTTACTGATGAGCTTCGGCAACTTGATGACATGATACCGACAGTCAAATCCGAATTCATTGATAAAGTGGAGAACATGCGGACTAATCTTTCGTATATCTATAGCCTTTGATAATTTTCTTCTTGAACAGATCATGCATTTTCTTGAAGACAAAGGTGGATGAGTTGTTTTCTGAAATTTTTCGGTGTAGAAAGTTCGGCAAGGTATGCAGTCTCTGCAGCATCTTCCTAAAGCAACCCACTTTAATTCTTCTAAACTATGTTCGGAGGTATTTTGGAAACACAGTAATTCTTATCATCTCACTAATATCACGCAGTGAAGAAAGGTCTGTGTTGAGCTCTAGAGAGAAATATGAAATCCTCATGAAAATCATTATCTGAGAAGGAAACAATTGTAATGTATCTATTAGAATCTCATATTGACCGGAGATATTGACATGATCGATTTAATAAGAGGAGATAATCCTCTCTTAGCAAGTCAGTTTTGCTAGCTTAAGTTGGGTCTAATATCCTTTGATTTCTGTAAAATGGTATCAGAGCGGTCCAAATTTTACAATGTTAGGTCCCCCATATTAACTTATTCACAGTAGTTTGGCATGGTCCAAGCTGTGGACCAAGAGCATATTAGAATCTCACATTGACCGGAGATATTGACATGATCCCCTTAATAAGGTGAGGGCAATCCTCCACAATCAATGAGGAACGGGTTCGACAAGCGTTTGATTCCATAATTTGGGTTCGTGTATTTGGACGCTTTGACAAGAGACAAATTTCTATGAAACATCTCCAACTCGCAGTGTTTGTGGTAACAACGGCTACCAATCAATATTATGAGAGGATACCAGTCAGTATCTATTCAGATATTTGCTGATATCTTAATATATATATATATATGTGGATGTGGTTTTAATAATTATTATTGTATTTAATCAGATATTTGCTGATATCTTAATATATATATATATATATGTGGATGTGGTTTTAATAATTATTATTGTATTTACCGTCTATTACTATTGTTATTTTAACCATGAAATATTGATCTAACAGTTGTAATAAATTAAGTAATTAATTTAAAAAAATTATACAATTATATTCTTATCATGCCACATTATCAAATTTCTTTACAAATATTTTTCCCCAAGCATAAGTTAATCTTAGCCTTAAATTAGTGTTAGTTCGATAAAGAGCCAGTTCTCTCCTTTTATATATATTTTTGTTCTTTCTTCTTCTCTTTATTTGTTTTTTTTTTCTTTTTTAAGATAAGATCAACCAAATATGAATTGTTAACCTTCTTAAATTCCAATCAGAAGTTGAAACGTGATGACAACGCTGATGAGAATTAAGTCGAGAGAAATTAACAAATGAAGGAAATTAGGGAAATTTTCAACAACAAAAAAAGTGTTCTAAAATCGAGGAACCCACAATTTCTAATGTGTTTAAGCTTTGGGCAAAAGTAGACCAATGTCGTCTTAGAGTGCATAAATATAAATTTTTATACTTATTCTATATTAATATTCTTTTAATTAAATAACTTTATTAGTTAAATTGTATTAATTAAAAGTATTAGGTAAAAATTAAGACTCAACTAGCATTCTTAAAGATAAATTTAGGGGTTGTTCTTTTACATTTTTTAGTTAGGGTGATTTGAGTGATGATTTTGAGTTGTGTTTGAGTTATAATTTGAGTTGAAGTTATAACTTGAGTTTGTGTTTAGATGTGCACATTTGAGTTATGATTTGAATTGAGATTCTTTTTGAGTTGGTGTTTGGGTAGGTCAAAACTTAAATTTGTATTTAGATAGTATTTTAATAAAAACTCAATGGTGATTTAAAATTTTAATTGGGTATATAGGTGGGGTTTTATTCATCTTTTCGTTGTGAATGCATGAAAAAAAATCATCTCAATCAGAATTAAAACAAAAAAGTTATGACATTTTTAAGAATAGAAAAAATATTTTCATTAATTTAAGTTTGAGTTTATAAACTCGAGTTGAATGACAAACTTAAACTCGAGTTTAGCCCTAAACTCGAGTTCAAATTTGAGTTCAAACTCGAGTTCAAACTCAATTTTATAAAAAAATATGAACTTAAATAAAATTATAATTCGAGTTCAAATTTTTTTTTTTTTGAGTTTCGTTGTAAAAAGAATAACTCGTAATTCTCTCCCTTTTTTTTTTTTGAGGCCAGCTTTGTCAAAGATGGCTGCCTTGCTTATGGGGCCGTTTATTGTTAAATTCAATGGGCTGAAAAACAATGGGTAGCCCACAATTCTGAAGGGAGAATCAATGGGCAGCTGAAGAAGGAAGTAGAAAGAAGAGAAAAAGTGTGAAGGAAAGAAAGAAGGGAAATGGTAGAAAATAGACAAATATAAAAAGCTTAAGAAAATATATAGCTCAATTTTTAGTTATAAAAATTAATAGATCATAACTTGTTAAGTTATGGTTCATAATCAGATAAGTTATGGATAAACTTATCAAGTTATGGTTCATAGTTAGACAAGTTATGGATAAAAATCGTGAATTATGGACAATAATTTGTCAAGTTATGATTCATAACCAGACAAGTTATGGATAAAAATAGTAATTTAACCTATTTATTAACTTATATAAACTATTGACCTATTAATTTTAATTCATCTTAAGTCTCAGTCTATTTTTCTCGTTCTCCTAAAAAATAATGGGAGGCCTTAGGCCTATAAATACCAAGTACCCCTCAGTTCTTGAAGCATCCAGCGTCCCATTTTCCATTCTTCTGCGGAGAGAAAAATTCTCCATGTGAGATAAATTTAATTTCTTCAGTTTTTTTTTCTTTTTTGAAGTGTTTCTCCTATTTACATGAGAGAATTGTTTTAATTGTTCTCTTTGTGTAATTTAAAGAGAAGATTATAATCTCCATTTTTATTGTGAAATCCTTCTATCCTTATTTTGTGGTTTTAGAGAGAAAATTACAGAAAGCACGTAAGTCTAGACTTTTACCCCTTTATTCTTAATAAATACCCATTTGTTAGTATAATTATTTGACTAAAAATGTTATGAATAAAGAGTAAAAAATAAAAATTCTGATTCATGCACTCTTAAAGAATATTTGTCAAAGATTACCCCTTGGAGATTTTTGAAAGTGTATTGGAAACCTGAGGAACCCACAACTTTTAAGTGGATGTTTGGTTCACAGATTCAAAATTATTCTTGATTTATGTGTGTTTTTTGTGAGAAAAAATATTATAACGAGCCATAAATTATGATTCAAACCGTGACACGAATTCTCAAACTAAACGTCCTTTAATTGTTTCACACCATGTGAATTCTTTAAGAAGAACTCAGCCTTTATTATAGACTTCATTATACATTGTTTTTTAACTGAAGAAGCACAAATTAAAAGGAAAACGAATAGAATTTTGAAATAAAGCATGGATTTAACGTTCATGCAATATATTCTAGAAAGTAAAAGAAAAACAGTTATGGAAAACTTTGATAAAATTATAATGAGAATAAGTATAGAAAAATAAAGTAGGAGCAGAGAAAAGTAAAGGAATAGCAATTAAAGCTTTAAAATAACTCAAAAGAAATGCTTTTAGAGAAAATTTTCTAAGTATTCAATATATGCTTTTGAAATCCCATGTTTGCTAATTATCATATTTAAAAATATAAAAGTATCTCCTATAATATTAAAAAGAGTACACGAGGAATCCTCGACAGATCAAATTTGTAAAAATCAGATACCACTATCATTCAGATTAATGAGGTTTTACGCACTGTTTCAAATATTAATTTCATAAAATTTAAACAAAAAACTTCCAAAACTTAAACAAATCTTAAAATTCGATAGAGAAATATTAAGTAATATTTAAGATTATAGTCAGGAGAAATATTAGAGAGAAAATTAATTTGGAGTCCATATGAGCATATAGTATTTGGAAAGGTTACAAGAAATTTATAAGTCATTTTGAAAGGAAAAAAAAATGAAAGAGTATGTTAGAGTATGGTATGAAAAATTATTTCAGTATAGGCACATTTGAGAAACATTATTTCAATGAAGTATATCAGAGAAAAAAAAATTCAATTTGACACATTTGGGATTATAAGATTTTTTTTAAAAAAATTTGGATATTACTAAGTGCACGTTTCAATTAATATTATATATATATAGTTTAATAAGTAGGGGTCTATTTAAGAAAATTATTTTAAAAGGGAAAATAGAAGAAAAGTATTAAGGTCTCATTTTATCGATTTGAGTTTAGAATTCGAGTTTTATTATAGTAAAAAGCTCTCAGAAACTGTCACATCTAACTTTTTTGCTACAGTAAAAAAATTCTCACATAAAGTTACATCTCAACTCAAATTAACGAACTAAACGAGTCTTAAAAAATTACATTTGAGAAAATAATAAATTAGGGGATTGTACGAAAAGGAAATATTGAAATGGCAGACATTTTTAAAAATGATATTTTAATAGATGCAAATTAACAGATACAAGTATTGTAAAGAAATATATTTAAAAATATAAATATGTTAAAAGAAATAGGCAAAAAGGTAATAAAAAGTAAAAAAGTAAAAAAGAAAAAAAGGAAGAAGAATGCAAAACGACAAGGAAAAAAGACGAGCACTTGAGCATGGTCGAATTAAACACAAAACGACGAACTGATTCTTGAGTTTAGTAAACAAAATAGGGGAAAAAAGACAAAATACACAACATGTTAAAATAATTTTGACGGAATTTTGAAATAGTATACAACAGTTCTCCTTAATAAAGTAATAGATAATAAATAAGATTCGTAATAATACTCCTAAATTTTGGGTCAGTCTCATTTTATATCCTGAACTTTAAAGATCCTCATTTTATTACCTTAAATTTTTATAAACTTTCACTTTATTCATTCCGTCTTAATAAAATTGGTACTCACTCACTTGCCTCAATATGATTTTTATTTTTTTATTTTTTTTCTAAATATGGTTAGATGTCCTTTTATCATTTTTGTTTTCTATTTGAATTATTTTCATTGATTTGATTCGTAGTAAGACATAACAGGACTTGAATTTTATAGAAATATTGATATTAATAAAAGTTAAATTAAAATATACAAATTCATCCTAAAACACTTTATTGACTTTTTGCTAATATCTCTAAAAAATTTTCACAACATATTGCGTCATTTAATACTATACTTTTCAAAATGAGAGAAATTCAAAGTTTGAAATAGTATGGAAAGAAACATGAAAAAGTTCAAAGGGCAAAGTGGATGTGACTTTAAAGTTTATAGGGTAAAGTGAGAGCGACTCTAAAGTTCAGAGAACAAAGTGAGGACAACTCCAAAATCAGGGGGTAAAGTGGGGGTGATCATTTAAAAGTTCAGGGGGCATAGGTGCAAATCATAAAAAATTTAATTACAATTTTACCCTCAAACATCATATATGTGAGTGCATATGAGATATTTTCCCTCTTTTAAACGAAAATTAAGACGGCAGGGACAAAATTAAAATTCATGAAAGTTTAGAGTAATAAAATAAAAATTTTTAAATTTCAAAGTGTAAAGTGGGGTGACCCCAAAATTCAAAAAGTATAAGTGATAATAATCCTAATAAATAATAGGTAATAGTTCATAAAGAGTAACTCCCCTTAGATATAGTAACATATAGAAAATAGACAAACTCTAGTAAGAAAAAATAAAAAGAAAAAAAGAGAGATGATAGGTGAACTCATAAAATTGAATCGCATTTGATGCGGAACAAGGAAAATGAGAGAGGTTTCATCATCAACAACAACGACAAAAAAAAAAAAAAAAAAAAAAAAAAAAAAAAAAAGGAAAACGAGTAAAGAAAAAAATTGTAGCAGTGAGTTAGAGGAGAAATTTCAAACCGGACCAAACCAGTCTTAAATGGGAGAGAAACGGCTCAATCTGACTTGTTCAGAATTTTATAAGAAAATTTTTAAAAAAATTATTTAGGTCGGACTAACTCGATGTCGATGATTTGAATAAACTTTTAGACTTGAAATTTTGACCTGATATAGAGATGAAGGCCGGGGTTAAGCTGAAACTAATAGTGATGGGATTCAACCGGCCTGTTTAGTATAACCCAAACTTACAGTCTTGAGTTAATTAATTCAGTTAAGAGGAAAATGGGGTCGCTTCAAAAGGCTGAAATTTGGCCATAAGGCTGCAATGGTGAGAGGGAGGGTCTCTCGTCTTGAAAACACACAGTATGTACCTTTCTTATCAGTGCCCCTTTTTAATGGGCTTTATCGGAAATCCACATTCCCACCAATAAGACGTCACTAAATTAACACATAAATTTTATTTTTTTACTTTTTAAAATAATAATATATTATATTAATAAATTCCACGTCTTAAAAAATAAATATAAAATATAAGTAAAGAAACTGATAAAATGAGTAGCAATAGTATGTCGTTGACATATTATTTGTTAGTAAATATAATAAATGTTCAGTTCATAAATTTAAAATTATAATTTAAAATTATTTTTAATTTAATATATTTTTTATAAAAAAAAAATATTATAATAAATTATAAATTATAATTCAAATTATAGCACCAATTTTCGTACAAAGCAGACCGATGATGTTTTATTGTTTGGAATACTGTAAATCGAAATCATCTCTTGAGACTAGCTAGTTAATTAAGAAGAGTGAGTTATTAGTAGTATATGCGTGATCGATAATGGAGCTACCGATACCGGACAAGGTGAAGAAATTCTGGGACTTATGGAATCTTCGTTGCTGCATTCTGCTAAGCCTGTCTCTACAGGCTTTCTTGGTGTTGTTTGCGTCCTCCAGGCAACGCCGTAAAAACTCATTTCTGGTCTTTCTTATCTGGGGAACATACCTGCTAGCCGACTGGATCGCCGCTGTTGCCATTGGTTTGACTACCAAAACCCATGACTCCGACAAATCTTGTAATAATGGTCATCACGTCACCAACAACGGAAAATCCAATTATAATCAAGAAATTTCTGCATTTTGGGCTTCATTTCTTTTGGTGCATCTTGGCGGACCCGATAGCATCACTTCTTTTGCACTCGAGGACAACGAGTTCTGGGTTAGGCACTTGTTCGGACTCTTCTTACAGGCTTTGGCTGCTGGTTATAGTTTATTTCTGACGCTTCCCCATAACAAGCTCCTGACTCCTACGGTGTTGGTCTTCCTTGTTGGGATTGTCAAGTACGCAGAGAGAACGCGTGCGCTTTACCTCGCGAGCTTAGATCGTTTTGGTGCCACTGCTTTGCCGAAGCCAGAACCTGGGCCTGACTACGAAGAAACTTCGACAACGTATGCTTCGCGGATGCTCGAGGTTCCAATAGAAGCGGAGATGACGACAATGTCAAACGCTGCAGCAGGTAGTGTTACTGGGAGCTCCCATGATCCAGATTTTGATCCTAAAATGGTCAATTCAGAACCTATGGATGAGATGATGGTTCTGCTGAGGGCATACATGCTCTTCGAACGGTTCAAAGGACTCATTGTCGGCTTCTTTTTGACCACCACTGACCGAGACTCGAGCAGAAAGATGTTCCTTGAAATTACCGATCATAAGCGTGCTTTTCGATTAATTGAGTACGAGCTTAGCTTAATGTTCCAGGTTCTCCACACCAAGGTGGTTGTGGGGCGCAATACAACGGGGTACATCCTTCGCGGTTTGAGTTTCTTTTCCTTATTGGGTGCCTCCATGTATTTTTTGCAAGTTGAAAAGAAGGGGTTTGGTAGTTTAGAAATTATCCTTACATATGCCTTGCTTATTGGAGCCATTGTCCTTGATGCCATATCTATGATGAAGCTCGTCTTCTCGGATTGGTCTCTTGCAGTAGTCCCTAAGGAGAAGAGTTGGAGGGGATATTTTGCTGGAACAATTTTAAAGAGATCAAAGTGGTCGAGGTTGGTGTTCCAGTATAACATGATAAATTATTGTCTAGATGAATTACGTCATGAACGGCTCTACAACTTTGCTCGCCGTATTCATGTTTCAGGAATTCTTGACAAGATTAAAATATTGTGGTATTCATCTTCAAAGGAGGTAACTGAAGAACTGAAGAAATTCATCTTCGACAATCTTATAAGAAAATCCAAGAAGGCAGTCACTTTAAGAGATGCAGAGCAAGAAAGTCAACAAAGAGGCGATTCAGCTCTGTCACAGAGTCCTTTTGCTACTGAGATCAAACTCAAATGGAGCGTCAGCGAGTTCCAATACACAGAAAGCCTTCTTCTGTGGCACATAGCCACTGAGATCTGTTATCTTGTGGAAAGATCTAGAGGTGATGAGGAGAAAGTTGCTAAAACGAAGGAAGCAAATTCTGGTGGCGATGAGGAGAAAGCTGCTAAAATGAAAGCCGAAAATTCTAGTTGTGATGAGGAGAAAGCTGAAATGAAGGCACAAAATTCTAGTGGTACTGATGAGGTGAAAGCTAAAATGATGGCAGAAAATTCTAGTGGCGATGAGGAGAAAGCTAAAACGAAGGCAGAAAAGTCAAGTGGCGATGAGGAGAAAGCTAAAATGAAGGCAGAAATGTCTAGTGGTGATGAGAAGAAAGCTGAAAGGAAGTGCAAGATTCTTTCAGATTATATGTTTTATCTGCTGATCATGCAGCCAAATATGTTGTCCACAGTTTTGGGCAATTGGTACATAGCGTTCCAAGATACTGCTGCAGAGGCCAAGAGATTTTTTAGCAAGCACTCCATAACGGACCATCAGGATGCACTAAGGAAGATAACTTCAATGAAAGCAAAATTCAGACCAGCTGCTGTGAAGGGTCCTAAGAGCAAATCTGTGTTCTTCGATGCGTGTATCCTTGCGAAACAGCTTCAGAAATTGGGCGATGAACGGTGGGACATAATGGATCGAATGTGGGAGGAATTGATGTGTTACGCGGCCATCAATTGCAGACCAATCATACATGCACAACAGCCAAGTAGAGGTGGAGAACTTCTGACTTTCACTTGGCTGCTGATGAATCATTTTGGCTTGGGCATACAGTTCTCTGAGGAGGAAGAGCTGGCTGGAACAAAAATGGTGGCGGTAAAGTAGTAATAAGACCAGCAAATCCAAGGGAAAAAGTGAAAATTTGCTGAGGGTAATAGTTAATAAACATTAAAGGAAACATGAGATAGAGTAAGAGCTTGCAAAAATTTAGGGTTGAACTTAACTTTATCTTTGTTAACATCTTCTATAAATAACTTTCCTTTTTTTATCTGTGTACTGATGAAATATAATTATATCATTGTATGAAATTTATTTCATGATCAGTTTCAAATGGAAATTTCTTAGCTTGATAAATTGTAATTTCAGTGACAGTTTGTCTCACACTTCTTTTAGCTGTAATTATATATTGTCCTTCAGTTTCGTAAGTGTTTCAATCCAACCCTTTAATTGATGATTAAATACAATGTTCCATTTTAAATTTATGTAGCAGAAGGTTCATGGTTTATGAACAACAAGATATATATAGTCCATTAATCCGAACCAGAAACGAGCAACTAGATTCACCCTTGCTAGCTTAAGGCCAACTGAGTTTGATTTGCAGTGTGTTAAGTTGTGAAAAATAATTATGCCTCAACAATTCATTGCCTTAACACCGAGGACTTTGCAGATCGTAGTCTCACATTAAGGCGATTTTATCTTGTAAACTTTTTATTCATCATAATAAATTACTGCAGCAGTTGAAAACACGAAGAGTTGTGAGCTGTGCAATTTTATCTTGTAAATTTCTTATTCATCATAGTTAATTACTAATCAACTGAAAAGAAGATAGTCTCACATTGAGACGAACCTCTATATATTTGTGTGTTTGTTTTTGCTTGATTTCTTATCTTTTTTCTTATTGCTCTCGGTAATATAAAGCTATGGTGCCTAATTCTTAACACAGTCTGCTTTAAAAGTAGCCTTCACTAGCTTTCTTTTTCTTTTTTCTTTTTTTCAATCAGTTGCCTTCATTAGCTCGTATGTATCTGTAGAATTATATAATTTTCTTAGCTTGCAGAAGCTTTAATATTCAACAAAATGCAGCAGAAGTTGTGTTAAGAAAAATATATGTGTGTATTGTTTCACATAAAAAATAGATGGAGATATGAAATAATTTATATACATGGAAGGATTCAAGACCTAATAGATTAATTTTTTGAGTCAAGTTAGGCTTATGAAGTGTATTGGGTCAGTTTCACATGTGTAGTCTTCCCAATAAGTGGTATTAGAGCCTATTGTTCGTTCGGGTCAAGCGATCACACTCGGTTTCTGTTACAGGTGTGGATGGTGGAGCATTTGGTGGACTCGCATGGTAAATTCTCATTTAGAGTGTGATGCTTAGATGTGTCAGCTATTTAAAATTTTAGTTTAGGGAGAGCTCGGTGAACACACACATAATAAGGAGATTGTTGAGAAAAGTACATGTGTGTGTTATCTCACATGAAAAATTAATAAAAATGTGAAATGATTTATATACATAGAATGACTCGAGATTTAATAGGTGAAATAACTGGTTAGTAGACGCCTTCTTATATTTTTCTGTATATTTCTAGTAAATCAACGGATGCTAAAAGATGTTGTATTCCTTTTTCCGTGTGCGTCTTTCTCTTATGCTCCCGCGCTACATCAAAATTGACGCGCCTCTTTTTATGCTGCAGAGATTGCACCATGAACTACTTTTTCTTAGAACTTCATGAATAGAAATCTTCTAATTCAAAACAAAACTTTTTGTCCCGTTCACGAAGCATATTGAGAAAACGTTGTTCAAAGATGTAAGGGCAACTAGTCTGTTACAGCTATTGTTAATCGAGCCAGAACGTGGGAAACTTTTTATTTGTTTTCTATAAATGAAAAGAAAGTAAACAGCTCAGATAAGTTAATATATTATAAAGCTTCCTACTATGACCGAATAACTTCTTTTTGTTTTTAAAAAAGAATATCACCACTAATGTTGGGAATATGGACAAAATTTCAATTTCTCTTCAGAATCAAATTTAAGCGAAAAAATAAAATGGGCATTAAAAATTTTATCTAGTAAAAAACCTTTCAACTTAAAAGGAAAAAATCACGGCACAGTTAGAAAAAAAATTTCACTATAATAATAATGGATATATAATAAATTCTCAAATTTTAATAATAATTTAAGGAATAGTCTCAACAAAAAAAAACTTCTCTCACACGTGATAATCTCACTATTTTCTCTCACACTTAGTCAGCTGCGAAAAACAACTGGGTTTCCTCATTTGTCAGCACTGAATTCGGTGTTTTTATTTTGGATTATTAGGCACCATTTGGTGCCTTTTTTTTCTTTAGCCTCGTTGAGTTTAGTGATTTAAATTTTTAATTTGAGTAAAAATATAATTTTATGTGAGCTTTTAACTGTAATAAAAAAATTAAATGTAATTTTTTATAAAATTTTTTAATTATAATAAAATTAGAATTGAAAAATTTTAAATTAATAAGATGAATGAGGCCAATTTCTTTAAAAAAGTGTGAGCGAATAATAAAATTAAAATTAAAAGAACGTTTAATTCATAAATTCAAAATTATTCTTATTTTATATATATTTTTTATAAAAAAAATATTATAATAAATAATAAATTATAATTTAAATTATGATACAAATTCTTTTTCGAAACGAGGTCAATAAATATCTCAAATCGAACGAGGCCAATTTCTTCAAAAAGTATGGGCTCCGCCCACATGGGTTGAAAACCCATCTCGTAAACGACAAAAAAAAAATTATTGCAGTCCGGCAAAACACAAGATAAGCTCATTATTCTCCTAAGTGGTGCTGATAAAAAGGGGGAAAAAAGTTAAAAGTCGGAAAATTTTTACTCAAAATTTAAAAAAAAGAAGAGAAAAGAAAAGAGGTGGCCACAAGGCTAAAAACTAACCACAACGTAATCATGTGAATAATATTCTTTAGAGAGAATTATTGCTACCATCTCTTCTCTGCAAACTTTGAGCTGGGCTTACTTGCTTCCTTTCAATTAATTTCTGATCAATTATGGCGGAACGAAATCTCACCGTTGTCGCAAATTCATTCTTGAGCATTTGCGCTACTTTAAAGACAAAAATATATATAAAAAAAAAAAGATCGGATCTGTGAGGGGTACTATGCTCTAAGAGCTCCTGCGGAGAGTCAATTCGATGCGTTTAGTTCGTTAATTCGAGTTAAAATTTAATTTTTATATGAAAATTTTTTATTATAATAAAAAAATTAAATGTGATTATTTTTAAAAATTTTTAACTGTAACAAAACTCGAATTCTAAACTCAAATTGATAAAATAAATATGGCCTTCATTTCCTTGTCTTACCAGATTAGTATTGAGAAAAATATATGTGTGTATTGTCCCACATAAAAAATGAATGAAGATGGATTATATGCATGAAAAGACCTAAAATCTAATATGTTAACCTTTTTGTTGTGTTTGAAATTGTTCTTATTTTTATTTTTCACGTTTTTTGAGAAAAAAAAATTAAAAACGATTCAAAAATGACGTTTGGCCCAATTAAAGATAAAAAAACAGAAATAAAAATGATTTTTTTAGTTTAGTGTAAAATGTGAGAGAAATAAAAAATGACTTTTAATCATTTTTCATTTTTTGTTTTCGTTTTCTCCTTTCTCGAGCAGAGAGAGACATTAATAAATTTTTTTATACTGAAAATAATCTCTTGATAAAACTATCAAACGCATTTTTTAAAATGATTTCTATCTGAGATTGAAAACATTTTCATTTTCATTTTCATACAAAAAAATAAATTATTTTAGAATGAGTTCTAAATACACTATTAGGTCAAATTGGGCTCTTGAAGTGTGTTAGGTCAGTTTCACATGTAGTGTCTTTCCAATAAATGGTATCAGAACATTCACACTCGGTTGGTGTGGCACGTGGTTTCAGCTCTAGCTCGGTGAACACACACATGAGAGAAATTATTGAGAAAAATACATGTGTGTATTATCTTACATAAAAAGTAGATAAAAATATGAAATAATTTATATACATAAAAAAATTGAAGACTTAATATTTAACTTTTTAGATCAAGTTAAACTTTTAAAATGTGTTAGACTAATTTTATATGTGATGTCTCATCAACAAGTTGACCATAGTTTTTGTTCGAAGCCTTTCAATTAAGTATCATCCAAACGTTCGAGTTGAGAGTTTTTTCAGTTTTCTTAACGTACGTTATTTGATTTGGTTTGGGTGCACTGAATATACCTCTACTTCTGACAATAACATTATATACTATATACTATATAATATAATAGGTAGTGGAGTTACTGTTCTTTTAATAGTGTATGGTCTTTTTGGCCTTTTCTTTACGAAATGTCTGTCTTGCCCTTTTTTCTTTTTCTCTTCTTTTGCTGGGTGCGGGCTTTTGGGAATTTCAACTGGGCGTTAGTGTGTTTGTACGATTTTGCCCTCGACTTGATTTTTTTCAGTTTATGTTGCCTTGGGCTTTTTGGTGCTAATCTGCCGAGAGAGAGAGAGCTATGCGTGAGAAATCGTGCCCAGCTGGCTTCAAGTTTGGTTTTTTCTTTTTGGAAAATAATAAAAAATAGATCATATGAAAAACTTAAGAAAGTATATAAATCAATTTTTTATTATAAAAATTAATAAGTCATAATTTATCAAGTTATGATTCATAATCAGATAAATTATAGATAAATTTATTAAGTTATAATTCATAGTCAGATAAGTTATAGACAATTATGAACAATAACTTGTCAAGTTATGGTTCATAACTAGAAAAATTATAGACGAAAATAATAATTTGACCTATTTATTAACTTATATAAACTATTGATCTATTAATTTTAATTTATCTCAAGTCTTGATCTATTTTTTTCCCCTTTTTTCCTTTCTTTTTTTTTGTTTTTTAGCTCTCTTCTTTGTGTGTGAATAGTCGGTCAAGTCAAACAAAGTAATGTAATCAAAATCAAGTTAAACTTCGGTATTTGTTATTTATAATCTTATTCTTAATAATTTATATTTTTATTTGTTCTTCATGTTTTAATTTAAATATTTCTTACAAAGTATTCTCAATATCATTTTTCAAACATGACCTCTATAAATTTTTTTAATTAATTTATTGAATTAATTATTCTCAAATATGTTCAAAGTTTTTATTTATTTTATATTTACTTTATTAAATGATATGGGCAATTTAATAAAATTTTGATAATTAAATAAATTAATATTATTTCCCATTAGTATTAAACATTTCCTTCAAATTTCATTCAAGCAAGTAAGTTGATATCCTCACAAAATAATGAAACTTCAAACAATTAAAATTAAGTTCAATTAAAGAAAATAAGAATTTAACATAATTTAATAAAAATTATTATGAGTAATAAATAAGACTTTTTTCTATTATGAGAATAAATTTATAACAATTTCTTTTAAACATAGCCACACAATAAACACGTGCCTGACTCAGGCTAGTATAATACTAAGGTACAGCGCAAGCTCTTCTTTTTGTTTTTTCTTTGAGAGTTTCTTTGATAATACTGTTCAGCCGCCAGACTTTTTTTATATGATGTATTTTTGTCAAATTCAACTGTGTTTCTGACACTATTAATAGACCGGCATATTTTCTTTTTGTTTTTTGTTTTTGGAACTGAGCGTTCCCCACTTGCTCAGCATAAGAAAATAAGACACAGATGGCGTTGTAGTTTTCCAGGTAGACCTCGTTTCTTAAAGATAATAGATTTCTAAACATTTGGTGAGATCAAAATTAAATATAATAAAAAATAAGATTTTCGTATCTTGCTCTAAGAACCTCTAATTTTAGCCTTCCCCTTTCTCCAACTTGTAAAATTATTATAATGTGCCTTATTTTATCAATTTTATTCTAATTTTTTATCAGATTTAAAGAATTGAGAATTATATTTGATTTAAATTATACTTGAATTTTTTGTAAAACGTGCCTTTTAGTCACCAATTTGACACAATCATCATCATAATTAAAGTATATTACAACAGTTTATAAATTGGGCAGCGAATTATTAAAATTAAAAGTTACTAGGACAAGTTGCTTACAAGTTCAAAGATAAATGTGAAAAATGCCATAATTGTATGATACAAGCTTTTCAATTATAATTAGCAACTTGAATGGCAATTGTATAATATATAATGCAAGTTGGTGATACAGAATAGTCGTATAATCACTAAATAATGCATAATATTTTATGAAAACTAAATCGACGATAATTGACTACAGATTAAACATGTCATTTTAGTTTTCCTATGCTTAAGTGCGATGTGTTGAAGGTGACATGTCCACTTTTTAAATTGAGAGTCTGTTTAAAAGGTATACTTATATTATAATTTTTAATTCTGACGTTTAAAATTTAATTTGTTTATAAGAAAAAAAATACTGAAATAAAATTAATAATTTAAATTTAAAAATATGAAACAAAGAGATCCTTATTCTTAAATTTTGTTTACAGTGCCGCAGATCATGTACTTTTCACATGCTCAACTTAATAAAGTAAATGCAAAAAAGTCGTGATTTTGGTATTTTTATAATTGTATCATCCTAATCGTTTTTATAATTGTATAATATAATCTTAATCTTTTTTATGATTGTATAATATATTGTGTCATCATCATAATAATAACAAAGTCAGCAGTAATTTAAATACTAGTTAAATATATCATTTTAGTGATTGTTTTTCAAACTCAGGTTCAAATAAATCCGATACAGTTTTTGACTTTTTTCAAGAAAAAAAAATAGATTTTAGTTCAAATAATTTAGTTTGAACCCATAAACTAAATGGATCATTAATTTTCTAATATTCTAACTAGTATTGCTTCCTCACCCAACTTTATTAGCAGGTCCTTTCATTTGCAACACCAAAAGAGTCTTGATTTTGTATAAGTCTATTATTTATGTTAAGTAGTCTTTACGATGGAAAGCTATTTTACTCTACTAGTAGGACAAGTGTTTTTACTGTTTGATTAATTTTTAATGGTCAGATCTACAGTAAGAGCAGTTTTATGTGGCGCACTGTAAATTTTTAATACAGACCCACACAAATCTGACCGTTAAATTTTTAATATTTATTTTAATTGGCCCTAATATTGCACCAAATATTAACTGGTTTTTTAATTTAATATGCTATTTTAGTGGATGGAGAACATTATAAAAACAAGGATTTAAAAAATATGAAAAAAAATATTTCTTTTTGTTAGAGTGAAAATTATAATTATAAATGTGTAAGACCATTTCTAATGCAAAAGCTAATACTAATTGTATATTTAACATTAAAAATGTAATATGATATGTTATTTTTATTTTTACTCTAATGCATAATGCTATTTAAAATGCTAAAAATATATTTTTTCTCATAATTATTAATCTTTGAAAGTTTTAGAAGTAAATTTTTATTTTTAAGATAATTAGAAAATGCCAAAGTTATAATAATTGTATAAAAAAAGTAAACATTTCAACCAATAATAATCAAATGTCAAATTTTCCCTATGCTATACTTCATGGGAAATTTACCACAAAATATAGTATATGAGAAATTTAGCAAAATAAATAATATTACATTAGAGAGTATTTTTTACACTCAAATACTAATTTATAAATAGCACGTTAATTATAACATTACATTTTTTAATGTTCTAAAAATTAACTAAATTCATTTTGTGGTGTTAAATAAGGATAAAACGCCATTTCCAATGTTATATATAGTTTAAAAATGTTTTATGATACCTGAGGGGTATTTTTGGTATGTTCAAAAAAATTAACAGTCAATATTAACGGTCAACTCACGGTCTACTAACCGGAGAAGTATCTGTGTACTTTTTTTGAAAAGTCAAACGATGTTAATATAATTAGTTTCTTAATAGTTTTAATTAAGAGGGTGTTTTTATTATTTTAACAAAACATGGAGTATTAGTGCAATGAGCCCTAAATAATATTTTTTGCCAAGTGGTCCCAGTGCAAAGCTCTCTCGTGGCCCAATTATTATTACAACTTTCTCCACCATACAGTTCTGTGCTCGTCTTCGGGGTCAACCCGGCGGCTTCTATGAACATAATCTGAAAATCAATTATCTCACTACCACCCGTTCTCTGCAAACTTTGAGCTGGGCGTGCTTGCTTGCTTTCTTTCTTCTTTCAATTATCTCATCAGTTATGGCGGAACGAAATCTCACCATTGTCGCAGATCATATTCTTGAGCATTTGCGCTCTGAAGACGAGAAGATCGGATCTCTGAGGCGTATTGTGCTGCCAGAGCTCCTGCAAGGATTCAAAGGAACCGTTTCAACACTCAAACCTCTGCTTCTTGATGCGGAGAAGAAGAGTTTCGGCGACGAAGGACTCAAACATTGGCTGCTGAGGCTCGGAGATCTACTCTTTGATGCTGATAACTTACTTGAGGAGATCAGGCTCTACTCTCTTTACGCAGCTGCTAATTCGCCGAAAACGACTTGCAAACAGCTAGCAGGACTACTGCTGAAACAGGTACGCCGTTTCGTCTTGATCTCAACAAGCAGCAATTATGTAGTCCCTCGATTCAAGATAATCAACGAGAGTCTAGAGAGAATTGCAGCTGAGAGAAACGAGTTCAATTTGGAGAAGCTTAGTGAGGATATTCAACTTCCCGTGGCTGAAGTAGCATTGGAGACTAGTACAGCTCCCTCATCTAAAGTTGGACGTGAAATTTTTGCGAGGAGTAAAGATAAAGAGGAAATCGTAAGAATCTTGCTGGATGCGGATGCGGGACTAATTGGGAGGGATTATGCTAAGGTTCTTCCCATATACGGTCAGGCAGGATTGGGGAGGACGTCGCTCGCAAAGGACGCGTTCCATGACGAGAGGGTACGAAGACGTTTTGACCGACAAATGTGGGTACGCGTTTCTAAAAACATGGACGTTAAAGAGATTTTAAAAGAAATGGTCGCAAGTGCAACTAGTGGAAGCATAGAGAATCTTCATGATTTGCCAGAGTCACAGTTGGCAGCGCAACTTCAAGATTCATTACAGGGAAAGCGATGCCTCAGTGTGTTAGAGGACGAGAGTGACGAACCGAGTAATAAATGGCCTCAACTGGAGTATCGCGTTTTACAAGTCGGTGCAAGGGGGAGTGCGATAATTCTAATTACCTCTTCAAGATGGTTTGCAGAAATTGCAGGCAACGTCAAACCCTTTTGCTCAGAAGGTCGACTAAATTACAAGAAGTACCATAGGACTTATTTTGAGAAAGCCAACTCCAAGGGGTCAACGTTGTTCCACAAAGAATTGACAACCATTGGTGATGAGATTTTAAGACAGTGTCATGGGCATCCTCTTCTCTTCTCGGCAATAGGAAGCATGTTATCTTCGGATTATAAAGAACAAGTGTGGCGGTCTTTCTACGAAAATGAACTCTTAAGAACGCTGGAATGTTATGTACGTGATGCTCGTTTTCGGGATTGTCAATTGCTGAAGCTGAGTTACAATCACCTCCCTTTCCGTCTACAACATTGTTTTGCTTACTGTAGCTTATTTCCGAGAGGTCATGAGATTGATGTGCGAATGCTAATAAAGTTGTGGATGGCACAAGGCTTTATCGATCCCAAAGATTCAACGCAATCTTTAGAGCAAGTTGGCTATAAGTATTTCATGAATTTACTTAGTAGATCCTTCTTTTATGAAGTTGCAGTTGATGTTAGTGGGCGTGTGACAAAATGCAAAATGCATAATTTGATGCATGATCTAGCTACTTATGTAGCTGGTGAGCAGTGCCGTTTGTTGAATTCAAGGAGTGCTGTTGATACAAGAGCTTCCCATCTATCATTTGGTGCTGATTTATCTTTCGATGAACATGTGCCAGCTTCATTGAAAAGTGCGAAAAAGTTGCGATCCATTCTTTTGCCGACCAAGTTACGGAGGAAAGACCGAGAGGCTCCCGATGAAGGAATTTTTTATACTTTAATTTCTAATTGTAGATTTTTGCGGGTACTGGATTTGCATGCCTTGGGGATTAAGAAAGTACCAATTTCTATTGGCAAGTTATATCACCTAAGATATCTGGATCTGTCTGAAAATGAGTACATCACCAAATTGCCCGACTCCATCACCGAGCTTCTAAATTTGCAAACCCTCAGACTGTCCTCATGTTTCAAGCTTAAAAAGTTGCCAAGAGACATTGGAAAACTAATCAACCTCCGGCATCTTGAGCTTGATGGGTGTTACAGTTTAGTAAGTTTGCCTCGAGGAATTGGTAAGCTGACAAATCTGCAGACTCTTTCACAACTTGTACTAAGCGAGGACGCCTCTACGCGCAACAACGAGCTAGAGCAACTCAAAGGACTAAATAACTTGACAGAGGATTTTGAGATTAAAAACCTGAAGCATGGAAAAGATGACATGGCTGCAACATATTTCGCTGTGATAAGACAAAAAGTGCGATCCTTGTCCTTAGAATGGGAAAGCCATGCACCAGAGTCTGATGATAACGACACACAACTAAACGCTAAATTATTTTCAGACCTTGAAAAATTATCTTTAAATGGTGTTAGAGGTGGCACACTGTTTTCTTGTTTCTTTCCTAACAATCTGGTCAAGCTTTCATTGAGGAGATGCGCAAAATGCTTCGTCTTACCAGCAATCAGTCAGTGCCATAAGCTTAAGGTGTTGGCATTGGACGAGATGACCGATCTGGAATATGTTGATAATACAGGCGTTTCATCACAAGGGGAATTCTTCCCTGATCTACAAGAACTCTGGCTCACAGAACTGCCTAAGCTACAAGGATGGTGGAAACCTAGTTCAGTTTCACAAGAGTACTTGCCTTCATTTCCTCGTCTCTCTAAATTAGTAGTCGAGGATTGCCCAAAGCTGGATTCAATGCCGCTTTTCCCAACGCTAGAAGACGGGTTAGTGCTGGACTCGACTTGCTGGAATCCATTCCAACTCACCATGAAGCACAGAGCAGCAGCCACCAAGAATAAAGTGTCATCGTCAACTTCCTCGCAGTCAACTCCTCTCTCCAAATTGAAGAAACTGTGCATTGTTGGCATTCCAGAGTTCGACGACTCAAAAGCCAACGAAGTTGAATGGCATAACCTGAAAAGCCTGCAACTGTTGAAATTTGATTCTCTTCCAGGTCTGACGACTCTTCCTGAGGGGCTTAAACCAGCCACCAACCAGGCCGAGGGCGGTAAACCAGCAGGCACCAACCAGCCTGAGGGCGGTAAACCAGCCACCAACCTGCAAGAGCTCCATGTTTGGCGCTGTGGTCTGCGTGAACTCCCAGCGTGGATTGACAAACTCGAACTCCTTGAGAAACTTGTGATTCGCGCATGTCCAATGATGGGAACACTGCCTGGAGAAATTCGTGGACTCAAATACTTGAAAACAGTGGAAATTGATGACTGTCCCATGCTACAAAGGAGATGCGAAGAAGGAATAGGTGCAGACTGGGATAAGATTTCTCATATTGAAACACGGCAAGTGCGCCGAATTTCTGGCAGTTGATCCATTGGCTCTTCCCTTATTCAGGTATACCAGTAGTCAATCACTTTGTATACATGTTTTTCCATCCTGTTGGATTCATACTTTGTTTGTCATTGTCATCTTGTGTTTTTTCTTAGACGATTTTAATCTTATGTTTTTTTTTCCATGATAAGGTTGTTCTCTTCTCCATGTTTATTTCCATGTTAATAAAAGAATGAAAGACGAAGTACATTCTCTTCTCCAGAATAACTTTATTGATTAATTTTGTTTTCTTGTTATGGCAGGTGGCAAACAAAGATTGGAGCTGTAAAGATTAAGTTGAATATCAGATCATAATTTGTAGATATCAATAGTCAATTTCAGTGTAAGTTCCAATTATCCGTTAGAACAAATTGGTGCAAGTGAGCAAGTGGCAATGTACTGTTATTTTGCTTTTTTATTTTTATTTTTTTTATCTATTCTGTAAAATGTATAATTAAAGGAGAAAACAGAGGGATGGTCTGATAAGTGAGAAAAACAAGAGAAACAAGAGAGTTTTCTTTCTTGAGAGAGAAACAGTGCGGGGTTTCAAGTGAGAGAAAGGGGCTTGAATGTGTACTGAGTTGGAAAAGCTTGTTCTTGTTGTTCTGTGTAAACAGTTAATAAAATTTCCTTTTGAGGTTTCTTCAATTTCTGACGTGTTGGTTCTTTAGATCTCTGGTTTGGTTTCTTTAGTCTTTCGGGTGTTCTTGATTTGTATTTTGGTAGAAGTTTCACAAGTGAACTTCTGGATTGATATTTCGAAGACACCCGCTTTCCCTGTAGAGTAGTCATTTTATTCATCCCACCACACGCACAAAAAATAATAAATAATAAAAAAAAAATTCTCTTCACATTAGGAGAATTGAGGATCATTAACTAGTGTTATCTATATATATTTATATATATTCATTTTAGCACCGTCTCTTATATTAAAATTTAAGTTTGATATTTTTTGTTTTTAAAAATTTTATGCTTTTTAAGAAAAAAAAAATTTAGTACTTCTGGAGGTATTTTTGAGGACACAAACAAAAAGATAAAATTATTATTATTGTAAAAATTTTATCTATTGACCAAAATTTTAACCGAAAAAAGGATTTTAAAAATTGTTTAATCTGTAGCCAAACACTCAAAAACCTATTAAAAGAACTTGCTTCTTTCTTTTTGTTTTTCATTTGTGCTTTTCTTTTTTTCTTTTTTTTTTGTCGGTGCTCTTCCTCTCCTCTCTTGCAGTTATTCTGAATATTGTTTTCAACTTATTCTTATGGTGCTCGATGTATAGTACTCGCTGAAAGATTGAGTTTTTCATTACAGTTATAACAATTTTTAAAATTAATTTTTCCTTTAAATTTCTTATCAATAGATGAATTTTTACAATTAGGATAACTTTTTTTTTCATGTCCTAAAAAATAGGTCTGAGTTGCCAAAAAAAGATTTTTTAAAAGATCAGAGTATTGACATGAAATTTTATAGTATTGACATGAAATTTTCAAAAATATAAGATACAAAACTTAAATTTTAATATAATAAATAGTACCAAAATAAAAATTTCCCTTCATTAAAAGTGGAAACTTAAAGGAGTCCGTCCTTCAAGCTCAATGGTGTGGTTTTAGTACATGCAAAAAGTACCACTTTGTAATTTTTTATATTTTTTTTAAATGGTAATTCTATATTACAAGTTAGACATCTATATATATATATATATAAATATATATATAATTAAGAAGTACGGAGACGTTTGGTTTATAGATTAGAATCATGAGATTAGAACTATTTTTAATTTATATGTATTTTTTATGAAAAAAAATATTATAATAAACTATGAACCATGATTTAAATTATGGTACGAATTTCCTCACTCTGAACTTCTAGACCTCACTAGGTTGAATTATTAATATTGGTTTAACTATTAACTTCTTTGTTCAAGGAGTCGTTGATTTTGCTCTCGCTTTTTCGCTGCTGCTCAAAACAATTATTTGTCTCCTTTATTTTTTTCTTCCTTCTTTTGTACCTTAGCTCAGTATGCAACAATTATTTATTGAAATTGGTGGGTTTTTTCTTTCTTCTTGGTGATGATTGATATTGATACTTGCTCCACGATATTTTAGCACTTGAATGAAACCTAAAGTCTATTTGGGAAGTATATTTGAATTATGATTCTTTTTGGTGGATGAAACTTAAAATTAGGCCGAGCCTGGTTGAAAAAACTTTTGGCTGCAACACCCTGTTAAGCCCATAAATTTATATCCTGTCGGGTGACCTCGGGTAGACTCAGGTTACTCGGATTGGTGGACTTGGGCCTAGACATTGGGCCTATGTCCAAAAACATAAGATATATTCTGAAACATATTTGTCAATAACCGGGCCGCGCGTGGTTAGGATATACTCATCTTTAAGGTAATAATGAGAAGATTAACCCTTACAGGTTACCATGTTAAGAATTATGTGATCAATCTATGGCCAATGTGAGAACATGAGCTTTCATAAACTCCGCAATTAGCAAGACAAAGAAAAAGTATTCTATTCCCCATCTTATATCAAGCTCAAAGTAGAATAAGACCAGACAATTTAATTTTTAAGGTCTGAGATATTAGATAGATGGAATTATATAGAGACTAACCATTTTCATTCAACTGTCACAGCCTTATGTTTTGCATCCTCAATCTCCTCTCTCTCATGTCCGGTAAGTAGATCACAAGGAACTTTTGCCTTGTTTAATCGTTTTGCCACCTCCCAAGCCAACAATCTCAAAGGAGCACAATATATTCCTATAAAAAAGTAAAATAAGCGAACAATCTTACTAGTTTTTTTTTTCATCAATACTCTCCCTTCCGTTTACCAAAACCAACTCCATTGTTGGGTTTTAAACTACCAGAAGTAATTGACTCAAGTCTCTTCAGAGCATGGTGAGTCTTGCCACTATTTGTGGGACCCATGTACAAGAAAATCTTGTGTTGCTTCCTTCGAGCATTTGGGTAGTGAGAGGGAGAAAGGCTGAGCCTGAGAGCCTCTGGCTCTGCTTCTAAGAAGAAACGGCGAGGGAGTAGGGATGGCGAGGCTAGCAGAGAGAGAGACCGAGAAGTGAGAGGGACTGAGAGAGAGAGGCTGAGGACTTGGAGAGATGCTGAACAGCACGAGAGAAGGAGAGGTGAGAGTGAGATATCACTGAGTCCATGGCATTTAGGGTTTTTTTCCACTGATCTCATCCGGCCGGGTCGGGGAGTATCGGGTCAAAGGAAGGCCGCCCCGCAGCCCAACCCGCAATGTGCAGGTTGGGCCTATTTGAATCCGAAAAAAAATAACACACACACACACAAAATTCGGGTTGGGTTGGGCGGGTTAGTCAAATTCGGTCCAAATTCTTATAGCCCTAATCAAAATAATATTTGAGTTTTGAGTATATGTTTCTTAATATATGTGCACTATGCGAGAGGACCTAGTTAGACACTCTCTGACCAAATTTCTCTAAGGCGGTGTTCATTGCATGGAGTATAATAAAAGAATTACGACTTTTAGAAGGTTGAATTTTAAATAAAATTTTCTAGAAAAATTAAGCCTAATTTTTATATCAGAATTGAACAGACAAATAAGTAAACTCCTTTGATATACGATACAACCTAATTTTAGAAGAGAACAAAAAAATTACAACGTTGCATGTGCAAACTCATTATCTAAACTGGACCCAAATTACAAAGTACAAATATCCAGAATAAAGGGCCATATTTAGGGTCCACTAGCACTGCACCTCATTTGTCATTACTAGCCCATCTCTTTCTTCTTCCTCCTGCAATACATGCGCTTATATCCAACTCAGTGCTGGAACTTTAGACGGGCCGCTCGCAACCGCCCGAAAAGCCCGAGTTTTTGCCCGAGCCCGAGCCGCCCGAGAAATTTGGGCCGCCCACCCGAGCCCGAATTTCACCTTGAACGGGCCGCGGGCTTGTATTAGGCGGCTCGAGTTTTTGCCCGAGCCCGAGCCGCCCGAGAAATTTGGGCCGCCCACCCGAGCCCAAATTTCACCTTGAACGGGCCGCGGGCTTGTATTAGGCGGCCCGAGCCCGCCCGAATTGCCCGAATTATTTAAACTGTTTTTTTTAATATTAAGTTATTTTGTGTTAAAATTTATATATATATATTACAATTTGAAATTTAAAATGAACACACGAACTATATAAAAA